ACCATATGAGACATTTCCTCAAAGTTTTGTGAATTTCTGTAGGATGTTGCAGTGATTTATTGAACCCAGGGATGTGAAAGAAGATACACAAGGGAGGAGTTGGGGGATAATGGATCTTGGAGGAGTTGGACATTTGGGACATTATTAATCTCCAACTCCTCATGACTAGTCTGGTATTAATTCTTCTAAAATAAATTATTACCGTATGATATTTCTAAATCACGTTATTTCTAGATCTAAAATTTAAGGAAAGGCATATGGTTTTCTACAGTGGTTAGAGTGTCATGGGAAGGGCGGTTGGTGCTAGGATAGGAGAAAGGTAATTGTAGAGTGGAGGCATGTGTGACCTCTGCCTTGTGGGAATTGGCCTTGGCTTGGTGTGGAGTTGGATTCTCCCCCCTACTGAAGCTAGCAGAGCTTGTGATGTGGTGTGAAGACATTTTCTCAGGTGCCTGAGTATCGTCTTTGATGACATGTCTATTCATGTTTTCTGCCCATTTTAAATTGGATTTTTTTTAAAGTATTAAAGTTTTCTATAACTTTCTTCAAAAATACTCCTTTGGAAGTTGTGTTATCCTGTGTTCTTTATAAAATCAGTTTATGAGGTGAGATTATATAATTTTGTATCAGGAACGTCACTCTCATAGTTGTGGAAGTGGTTAAGTTTAGTCTGGTTGAAGTACATGGGTTATATGTTAAGCTGGAGGATTCTCCTGAATTAGATAGCTGTTGGGGCTGATGAACCAAGAAGCATGAAGATGAACCCGGAAAACTACAGGCTGGTGGAGGCAGAGGCAGATGAATCCTAGGTCAGCAAGTGTGTTAGGCCAAGTTCTTAAGAGATGTAGAACTAGTGACATATATGCAAAAGAAAACTTCATATCAAGAGAGCAGACAAGCTCACAACTTCAGAGCAGACAAGCCTAGTCTGTTTCGAGTATGTGAATCATATGCTAACTATTACTCTGAGCTATTCTTTATATCTTAAAAAAATATCCCCTGAAAGTCTTCTAAAACTAATAATTTCAAGAACCAGATGGGATTCAAGTGACAACAGCAACTCGAAAGATTAGATGGAAATTTTAAGGGGCAGTGTTCATGGAGCAGGGAAAATTAAAAAACAGTACAGTGAGAATGACTGCACTTAGAAGAATGTCATCAATGTTACTGAACGCTTTGACATGCAGAAGCTGTTGAATCGCTGTATTTGGCTGTGGATAGTCTCACCACCACCAATAGAACCTATTCATTAGGTTGGGGGTAGGTGGCTCAAGTTTTGCATATTCAGTAGGTCTTTTTTCTTCTTCTTTTGGTTAGAAAAAGATCCCCATCCCCTAGGCTATATACACAGTCTTTTAAGTTTTCTTCTGAAATTTATCTTATTTCCCCCTAGTTTAAATGATTATGTGTATAAATGTACAGCAAATAAAGACAGATTTTAAGGACATATTTTCTTAAAGTTTTTAAAAGTTCTTTAGGTTTCAGTTCCTTTCCAGTGACTCCTGGGAGCCTTCTGAGGTCTAGCCTTGGTTATATTATTATAAAAGGTAAAAGAAGCAAAGACATAACAATTAGCCTGCTGCATCTTTTGCTTTCATATTGTACCAATGTACTTTTAAAATAAGAAAGGTTTTAACACAAAAGAATGTTTAAAGACCATTGGAGCTTCCACAGATGCTGATATATAAAGAAGTGATTATAGCTCAAGGATAGAAAATAGAGATGGAGACATGTCCCTTAACTAACTCCAAAAGAGTAGGAGGGGGACAGATAGAAGATGCTTGGATGAGAAATCTACATGACAGAGTAGATGGCAGAATTATAAAGATGAAGGTGCTAGTTTGGTTTCTAGTAAAGACAGAGGCAATGTTGTTACAGGGATGAAAAAGTAAATCAGGAAGAAGTTGAGAAAAGGGGGACTTTTAAAAAGCAGAAGAAAAGCCCTGAGATATCTACTACAAAAATAAGAGCATGATTTTATTTCAGAAAAATTGAAGTGAGAACAAGGCCTAATGTATTAATTAATTTAATGTGGGAAATAAAGAGGTAAGAAGGTGTAACAACAGCAGAAACATGGGCACTATTTTTCAGAATGCGAGGCAGTAAGGTTTGGTCTATTAGCAACACTTGGAATGGGAGTGAAAAGCTTATCATGCAAGATAAAAGAGATCAAGATGAGATGTTTACAAGAGATTTATCTTTCCATTATGATTTTATTAAAATGATAGGGCCAAGTGAGTTCAGAAATGACAGGAAAAAAAATTCAAGTCTGATCCCACATTTCATTGTATTATCCCAAACCCAATCTCATTGTAATTGAATAAATTTCTACTCATAGGAGTCCTATAGAATTGACATATAATACAAACTTATAGTTCCATCATATTAAAAAGAGCTGTGCAATCATCACTGCAATCAATTTTAGAGTATTTTCTTTCTTTTTTTTATACTTTTGGGTTAAATTTATTCCTAAGTATTTTATGTTTTATACAGAAATACAATTTAAAAAAAAATTTTAAAAATCATTTTTTGGGGGACTCGTATAACTCATATCACAATCCATACATCCATCCATTGTGTCAAGCACATTTGTTCATTTGTTGCCATCATCATTCTCAAAACATTTTCTACTTGAGCCCTTGGCATCAGCTCCTCATTTTCCCCCTCCCTTCCTGCCCACCCCCTTATGAACCCTTGATAATTTATAAATTATTTTGTCATGTATTATACTGTCTGACATCTCCCTTCACCCACTTTTCTGTTGTCCATCCCCCGGGGGTGGTGGGGGGTGGTTATATGTAGATCCTTGTGATAGGTTCCCCCTTTTTACCCTCCCCTCCCCTTACCTTCCTGGTATCGCTACTCTCATTATTGGTCTTGAGGGGTTTATCTGTCCTGGGTTCCCTGTGTTTCCAGTTCTTATCTGTACCAGTGTACAATTCTTTCTTATACTCATTGTTATTAGCTTCCCATTCCCCCTACCAAGAAATTATTAATTCAGCTAGTGTCTTTATCAATTTACCTATCCTGGACTTCATATACAGAAAAACATACAAAACAAAACAAAACCCAACTAAAACTGAGGAAAACCACAATAGAACAGAAAGCAAATATTAATAACTAGAACAAATTCAAAATGAGTCAAAAGGGAAAACAAATGATAAAGTATTAAATTTTAATCTAACTGCATCTGCAACAATCCACTTTCCAATGCACACTGTTTGATAGCAAAGCTATTCACATCCCTGGTGTATGGTCAGAGGAGGTTCACCAGAGGCTTAATCCATGTGGGGACCCTTCAAATGGGCTTGGGACTTTGACTGTCATGCCAGCCTTCTACCTTTGAATACTAATTGACATTTTCAGTTTTAAAAACACTTGTCTTTATAGCTTGCTATTTTTAGCTTTCTGGTTGATCTTAGAGGTTGTTTATGCTCAGAACAAAAGGGACATAGAACCATTTGCTACCATTCATGGATCTAATTTAAGTGTGCTGCCCTATCTACAGTAAATCATGGATTTTGTTTTTCTTTACAGCAGTTACATGTTGGACTGTGATCTGCCTGGTCAGTAGTTCAATACCACCAGTAACTCCGTGGGAGAAAGAGTGGGCTTTCTCCTCCTGTAATGAGTTATGTAAAACAGTTATAGTCTTAGAAGCCCACAGGGGGTTGGTTGCTATGAGTCGGCATTGACACAAAGGTTGCAAGTTTGGTTTTTTTGGTCAAGATACCCAGAAACCTTCAGGCATAAGTGAGTTATTAAAATGTCCTCTCTTAATTGGGATGAACTATCTTGATATAGCTAATTGCTTGATAATTTTGTATCCCCAAAACTCTCCCTGGGTTGTTTTGACTTAAAGAAAGATGACATTTTACTCATATTTGCTCACAGATGTGATTTTCACTTTGCTATCTAGTGCATAAGGAAATAATTCTAAATTCAGCAACAGTGCCAGTTTGACAAAATGAAAAAAAGTTATTTTCCATATCCACAAAAATGTTAATCAGTTTCTTGTTAGAACATGTGTAAAAACTGGTTTTCATTGTCACAGCTCTTGATGTCAGATTACTAAAATAATTTATGTTTTGTTGTGGGAACATGAATGCATGCAAATACTCCCAAATCACATGACCACGTCTCAGCCCACACTTCTTCATAACACTTAGAAATTATATGTATTTTGTGGTAATGAATGAATGGCAGGAGCAGCAGAATTTCAACGTGACCTTTCTTTATTTGATTAAACATATTCTCTATTTATTCTTAAAAAACTAATTTAAGTTAAACAGCAATAAACCATGATAATTTAGAAAACATGTTGAAATTGAGAGTGAAGAGAAATGTTCTCAACATAAACCACACTGTAAACCATAAAACTTATTTTTGTCAACTGCTTCTCATGACAGTGGCTGGGAATTTGACATTTCTGCTACAGTAGGCAAAAAGCATGTAAAATATACCCTTCTGCACACCACAACACATCTCTATTTATACATCCCAACGAAAAGCATTAAGCTCAAAGTGCTGGGAGTACTGTTTATATTTACACTAGAAGCTGCAAATGCACACAAACACCATCTTAGGCTAGAGTATTGGTGAAGCAGACCCTCCTGGCCCCTGAGCTACACTCACTAAGAGATAGGCAAAGGGCAGGGAAATTTTCAATGGTTAACATAGGAAGGGGGGAAAAAAAATCCTTGGCCAGATCGTGAAACCCAACTGAAGTATCCAGATGATTGCATCCCATACCATTTTCCTCTTCAAAACGTGCTGGCAGTGCTTAATTACTTCTGTAAATGAGCAGTGTGGACGCTTGCAATAGTTTGAAGCTGAATATTCTAAACCCAGAAAATGTCCCATAAATTAAACCAAACCCACTGCTGTCAAGTCCCTTATGCCGTAAGGTGACCAGATTTAAAGCAGGACACCATTGGCCCAGGGGGTGGGGGTGGGGTTCTTGATTAAAAATTTGGTCTATATGGACCAAATAGACCGTTCCCTAGCTCGTCGTGCATTCTTTCCAAAAATCGTGACTGTCCTGCCAAAAGCGGGACGTCTGGTCACCTTCCGGCGGTGGCCCTGCAGAACAGAGGACAAGTGACCCACAGGATTTACAAGGCTGTACTCTTTAAAGAATCAGCTTTCTCCCAAGGAAACACTGGTGGTGTTCACACTGCCGACTTTTTGCTCAGCAGCTAAGCACTTAACCTCTGCACCACCAGGGCTCCAAAACCATCAGAGGGATCTTAAATACTCTATTAAAGTAAACATGAACATGACAGAAACATGGCTAAGGTCTGATCTTATACATTTCAGAGAGTAGATCCCATATGTTCTATCCACTTAACAGGTCATGGAAGTCAGCACGACCAAGCTCGCTTCTCCTAGCAGAAGGGCAGATGCAATGTTTAAACAATGTTTTAAAACAATAACACAAACCTCCTGGGGGAATGCCACAATAAGTGTCTCACCAACCACTCAGTTAATCCCAGGCTATAATCTGGCTGTTTTAAATCACTGCAGGGAATATTAAGGGCCTTAATGACACTCGTAACTGCATGAAGCCAAAGAAAGCTAAAATGAGAGGCCAAAAAGATGAGCTCAGAGCCAGCTAAAGTGACAACAAACATGTGGCTGTTTGCTAGGATTGGAGACGTTTCGTTTGCAGATGTTTGTGGTCTCTAGAAGGTTCCAGAGGAATGAGTTGTTACGAAGATTTGCAGAGCTTGTTGAGAGCAAGGTTCTCCTTGGAGCGGGCAGACCCCAGGGCAGGGAGATGCAATGGTATAGACAGAATTTATAGATTTCTGTGGTCAGCTCATACTCTACTGGTCTCCCAATGTACATCAACAAATTAATATTGTACGGATGTCATTGCAAAGTCTCCTAAAGAGGAGAGTCATTATTGAAGCCATTAGAGCACAGATGGTTCAAACTATATGCAGATATTCATACTTGCATTTTTGCATTATAGCTACTTTTTTTTCCCTCTGTTGAACTGTAATGAATTGTCTCATAATCTATTCCATCTTCTTGCCATTAGCAGGCTTTGAATGTTCACAAATAGGAGCAAAGAACTCATTTTCCAGAGCTTTAATCACACAAAGAGGGAATGCCTAATTCTCTAAATGAAATGGTCTGTGATCACTGAAGCAGAGATTTAATATATCACGGCAAATTAGGTAGATTTTAATAAATTACTTATCTCCCTGAATACTTTACATATGCTTAAGAAGGAACATAGCCTGTTTGCAAACAGTGAAAACCCACAGCCTATAAAAATCCTTTGAAGAAAATGACAAATAAAAAAGTAAATTAAAAAATGAAACGCATTATGTCCTGGCCCTCTAGAGACAATTCCTTTGCAGCATTGATTCACAGCTCCATTAAAAATATCAATTAAATCCTTCAGTGAGATTGGGTAAAAGCTAGAAAATTAACTTTCTGAGCTGCTTTTTAAGGATCTGGCAATCCAGATATACCCCCCAGCATTGTACAAGTTGGATGTAAATTTTAAAAATGATGAAAAGATATTCTGTTCATGTCTAACTAAGCATATCAGAATTTGAGTCACACTTTAATAATTTCTTTCTATATCATAGGCTAAGTTTTCAAAGTGTAAATTATATGTATATGTTACACACACACATTTCCAGATCCCATATCACCAATAAAAATAATGAGTAAGAAGAAATGCTATTTTTTTTTAAAGAAAAACTATTGTAGTAATTTAATAAATTGGTGCTGTTTCATTCTTTATATTTAATTGATAGAAACTGCATGCATCAAAGAAAATGCATACTGAGCTTTAATGTGCATAAAATGGATATTAGCATTTTAAAGAGGAAGATTAACACATTAATCCAAGTAATTTTCATATATTGCTTCTAATAAAATCTTCACAGTATAAAACTCCTAATGAGGCTAATCATAGGCATCCCATTTAGTGGGCCGATTAGGGAACACATAAAAAATTATTTCTTTTTTCATAGATTTTGTAAGATTTATGCTTTTTGCTTATTAAAAATAAAAAATGGGAATTGCATTGCAGGTCTTCTTTCTCAGGCTATCCTGTAGGTATAAATTATTGAGAAGGTGTTACCCATTGTGGAGGACTTAAATCCTGAGGGGTGGTCGACATGGGAAAGAGGGAGTAGAAAGATAAACAAATAAAAAGTGCACAAAACTTGAACACTTCAAACTCAGGTCTCCCCCTCCCAGTGCCCCATGAATTATAGATTATATATACCAGAGTAATTATAGAAACCTCGGCTCAGAGCAGCTTTCATGTGAGCATTTACTCAGGAGTAGGAGATGCCTCTGGAGCGGTTCCTTCAAGCCTCTAGGTCCTCTCTGTATTCCTCATAGACAGACCTTAGGGCATGGAGAGCTTCAACTGTTACCCGGAGCTTGCCAATACCTTCACCATCTGCTCGCACATCAAAAACTAGGGAGAAAAATAGCAGAACACGTTAATAGAACTTTCTTTAGATATGCGAGCTGAAGTAATAGTTTAAAAAAAGAGAACAGCTTTACAAAAGCTTTGCTCAGTGCTCTCTTAGAAACCTGAAAAATAGAGTTGGTCAGGTATACATAGAGATGAATTAAAACAAATGGCATAAACATGTATAGATTGCTTGTGGAGCTAAAACCAGTCTCCAAATCCTGATGACGACTAGTGAAATGTACGATGTTTCTCACCCAGAACCAGGATTGTTGAGCTAGGAAGAAATATGCCTAAAAGGGATCAAGATACAAGAAGGCAGAAGCCTTTGGCCTAACACACAGTACTAATGACACATTCAGAAAGGTCATGGTTCGGATTGGTTATCGTTCTAAGAAAAACATTCTTTTGGAAAAAGTTTAAGATGGCAGAGCCAGGAATCTTACGGTCTGTGGAGGGGCTTTGAGGTGCCATGAACCAGTGCTGCCGGAAAAGGGACGGGCACGCTGGAGTGGATTTGTGAGTTGCCTTGTCTTGGGAGACGGGCCACAGCTGTCAATGGCATTCCAAAGGTGAAACTTTCGACGGGAAGCCTGAGCAGCACTGAGCCCAGTGGTTGAGGCGGGATGGGATGCAGATTCCATAACTGAGATCCTCATTCCTCTAAGGACAATATTCCATCCTTCCTAGGGACTAAAGATCAGAATCCTGGACTTTGTAATTTTGACAGCCCGTGTAAGCATTCTGGTTATATTCCTTGTGGTTTTCCTTGGACTTTAACATGCGTGTGTAAATGTCTGGGTTTTAATTCCAAGAACATTTGTCAGGAGATCTTCAAACAAAATGTGTTGTACAAGACTAGGTGAAGAAATGAAGAGCAGAGGAGAATGCAGTAGCACATGTGTTTCCCCCACTTGTGTCCCTTGGTTTTCACCTCTTCTTTGGGAACGCCCATGTTTATGTCTGACATAAGCCAGAATAACCAAATTCTGACCTGACCAGCACCTACCTCTTTTGACTCTGTCCCCAATTCATGGCCAGTTTATGTAATGTGACTATCAGCTCACTGTGGCACATGCGGCCTCACAGAATGATTGAGGGGTAGCTAAACATAACTGACAGGAAACAAGATGAAGAACATAAAGCATAGATAACTTTGGATATTTTCTGCCCAAATCTCCTGGACCTGGCATCTTCAAGAGGGTTTAGGTTACTATGTTAATTCTCTCAGCCTTTTTTTCTGTGACTGTCACAGTTGTGACCAAATGCCGGTGGTTAGACTTATCATGTACATTTTCCACCAAAGGCTCTGGCAGCTGAACAAGTGAGACTCGGAATCTTCCTCCGTGTTCTTTCTCAGATAGCCCAGGCCATTCCTGGGCATGACTGAAAAACATCTGATTGACAAAGTATAATTCTTTCAGTAGGCACTACATTTATTTTATAAAAGGAAAGGGTAGAAATTGAGCATTTTTGGGAGTTATAGGTGGTGAGGGGAAAATCCATTTGCCAGGAATTTCTTACTACTCCTTGAATCTTGATGGCCAAGTGTTATCTGCAGTGATGATTATGTCTCTGGATTAAATCAAAGCTGAGAAAGACAGTCATTACCACTTAGAATAATACGCTAAAGAGAAAGTGTTTCTCATGAGAAATGAAGCTTCCATAAACAACATTTAACAGCTCCTGTGTCCAAATTCTTGTCATACCTTCCACCAATGCTAAAAAATTCCTGCAAAGCTTATTAATTTGTAAAACTTCTCTTTTTCAAAGGAAGGCAGAGGGCAGAGGAGGGATGTAGGGAGAGCTTCCATTTCAAGGAAAAACAAGCTGGGACTTACAAAAGAGTCAACTAAATTGTGATTCTATGTCCCTTCAGGCAGCAAAAAGACAGATTTCCTAGAGTCTGGATTCCAGCGATGGTTTGGATACACAAGTGGAGCAATATGGCCTCCCATACCATCAATATTTTGCTCGATGATGTCTCTGCCTTCCTCAAACAGATCACTGAGGTCGATCTTCGCGAGGCCGATGTCCTCACACTCCAGATCCTGCTCATCCTCCAGAGGGTCACTGACCACAGTGAAGCGGAGACTGAGGACAGACAGAAGACAGATTTCTCACCCAGTGACCCCATGAAACGAAACCCTTAGGTGAGTTTCATCATTTAATCCGAAGCTATCTCAGGAAAAAGAAAGCTACATTAGTCCAGTTATGAAGTGAACACTGGAATTGTGACAGCACAATTGTGAACACTCACTTTTTGAAGAACTGATGAACCTTTACCAATCATATTTTGAACATATTTACTTTTAAGGCTAAATCGATAAAGTGAATAAAGACTATGGAGGTTAGGCCAGTCACTCTGGATTTGTTACTAAGCAATTAAACCAACTATATGTATTCTATGAAATGCATAGATTAGACTTCATAAGTAATGAACATTCCAAATCATGTTAGATAAATGCTGTACTTCTGCCCACCAGCTAATGTTTGTATTACTTCAGCAATCTTTTAACATTCAATCATAGCATCCAAGTTTTATTTTACTTTTAAACACATAATTACAGGTTTCTCTGGAACTGATTCGAATTAGTGGCTTGTGTTGAGGCCAAACACACTTGGACTGACCAAATGACAGGAATTTACAGCTCAGAGCTCTTTTGATATGTGTTGGCAGCATAGCTTAAACCAGAGATGCTTATACACTTTACAATTTTAAACTTTTCAAAATGTCTCCATTCCAAATCAGAAACAAAACAAGAAATCTAAAAACTGAATTCTCTCAGAAATCATGCCTTAAAAATTCTCAAATATAAATTCCTTTCAAAGTTCTTAGTTAAGTATGACAATATTCTTAACTAACTTGCAGAAAAGAAGTACTCAATTTATTATTTTACTACATTCTCACTTTTAACTGGTGATATATTTGGATTATTAAAGAGACATCCTTAAATTTAAATAAAAAATAACAATTATACAATAAATATATATGAAGATTGTAGCCGGTAAATGGGACAGATGCTTTATAAGATGCATAAGATAGGAAGATTCTGGAGAGATTCTGGGTCAACGTAGCCTCCAAGCTACAAACACAACAAAATTCCTCTTATAAACATAAAGAGAATCATTAAGAAAGTAAAATCAGTACTCTCATAATTGGTCCTGAGGGGTTTATCTGTCCTGGATTCCTTGTGTTTCCAGCTCTTATCTGTACCAGTGTATATCCTCTGGTCTAGCCAGATAACCCCTCAGGACCAATCAGGAGATAGCGATACCAGGAGGGTGAGGGTCAGGTGGGGGACAAATGGGGAACTGACAGACAACAGAAAAGTGAGTGAAGGGAGACATCGGACAGTGTAAGACATGAAAAAATAATTTATAAATTATCAAGGGTTTGTGAGAGAGGGAGAGTGGGGAAAAACTGAGGAGCTAACACCAAGGGATCGAGTAGAAAGAAAATGTTTTGAGAATGATGGCAACAAATGTACTTGAAACAATGGATGTAGGTATGGGTTATGATGAGGGTTAAATACAGCCCCCCAATAAAATGATTTTTAAAAATGTCTAGAAAATAATGATGGCAACATATGTACAAATGTTCTTGATACAATTGATGTATGGATTGGTACAAGAACTGTAAGAGCTCTCAAAATGTTTTTTTAATTTTTTTAAATTAAAAAAATAAAGTAAAATCAGATTATCTTGAATCTTGGAAGACAAGTGATCTAAAAGCAACGTGATCTAAACAAATTTCTCCAGACCTGGAAGGCTGTGGGTGGAAACAGAAGGGGCAAAACTGGTAGATGTAGTGGGCTTAGGAGGAGAGTGGAGAGATGAATAGGTGTTAAACCAGTCCTGTTTCCCCAGAGGAGGTATAGGTCTACAGACTCACAAGCAGAGAGGGGCTATGGAGTCCTTATGGAGCCTTTTTCTTATCTATTTTTGTGTATATTATCCCTCACGGAATGGATAAGATCAACAACTAGGGTGCCACCAGGCCACTCTTGTAATTGTACACATTCCCCTGGCCCCCCACACCCGGGTCTATTGCCTGAGGCTAACAACACAATAACAATGACAACCACTGTTCTTTTTCTAGATCTATGGTGTTGGTAGAAAGGGAGGTCAGCTACTAACTCCTCACAGCTGTCCCTGACTGAGAGGAAAGCCTGCTCACACACTGTTTTCCGGGGCTGAGAGAGCCCGCCCCCAAATCATCTTATGGTTTCTACTCTTTCTTTCTTGCACCACAGTCAACTGTCCACATAGAATGTCATTGAAACAGCAATTAATCTCTGTCTACTTGAAGAAGCAGGAAAGATAGGCACAAGCAAGTGATCAATACACATAGTCAAAGGAATTTTCTGAAGAAGAAAAACAGGCCAAGAGAGCTATAAAAAAGTAGAAAAATTAGCTATCTTAACAGCAAAAATGAAATCCAGAATATTAACAATTGATAATAGAATTAGTAACAATTATTATTTTTAAACTTATTATTTTAAAAATCTATTAATCATTTTATTGGGGGGCTCTTACAAATTTTATAACAATCCATCATTCCATTGTATTAAGCACACTTTTACATATGTTGCCATTGACATTTCTAAACATTTTCTTTCTGCTTGAGCCCTTCGTATCAGCTCCTCTTTCTTCCCCTCCCACCCTTGTGAATCCTTGATCAATTATATATTATTGTTATTTCTTGTCTTTTACTGTCCATTGTCTCCCTTCACCCACATTTCTGTTATTTGTCCCTCTGGGCGGTAGGCTATATATCCAACCTTGTGATGGGTTCCCCCTTTCTCTCCCTTGTACCCTACACCGCCCCCCTACCCTCATGATATTGTTACTGAGAGTTTTATCTGTCCTGAATTCCATGTGTTGAGAGCTCTATGTGTTCCAATGTGTGTTTTCCAGTCTAGCCAGACTGTAAGGTAGAACTGGGCCATGGCAGTGGAGAGGAAGATACACTCAGGAACTACAGGAATGTGTATTTCGTTGATTGCTATACTGCATCCTGGTTGAATAGTCCCTTCCTTGTAACCCTTCTGTGGGGGGATATCCAATTTTCTACAAGTGGGCTTTGCTATCCACTCTAACCCCCTTTTACATTGATATAATTGTTTGTTTTGGATCTGTTATCTGATCCTGTTGATACCTCATGATCACACAGGCTGGTGTGTTTTTTCCGTGTGGGCTTATTTGCTTCCCTGATACATGGCTGCTTGTTTAACTTTAAGCCTTTAAGATCATAGATGCTTATCTTTTGATAGCTGGGCACCACCTGCTTTCTTCACCACATTTGCTCAAGAACACATTTTGTCTGCAGTGATCATGTTGGGAAGGTGAGTATCAAAAAGTGCCAGAGTGTTCTTGTGTTTAGAGAAACCTTCAGTAGAGGCCCAAAGTCCATCTGCTATCTTAAATATATGTACATTGGCCTCTACCCCTTTTATTATAAATTTATATATATATATATATATATATATATATACATGCCTATAGCTATACCTGTGTAAATAGCTTTTGCCACCTAATTCTTTCCTCCATTTCCTTTCACCTTCCTCCTGTCCCACTACATGCTCACTCTCCATTCAGCTCTCAGCAATTCCTCTCAGATACATTGTACTTGATCAAATCCCACCAGGCATTATATGCTGTCCTCACCATCAATTTTAGATCTCTTGTTCCCTTATCCCCCTCCTTGACTCCTTCTTTCCCATGGGTCCCATTGTTTGTCCTGCCTCTCTTATAAAGATAGACATAGGGCAAAAGAAAACAAAAATAAAAATGATAGATAGTTCCAATTCTGTCTCCTCACCCTTCTGAGTGTTTTCTAATCAGGTCTGGTGAGGTGCCAAGCCCTATCCCCTGAGTCAGAAGTCTATTTTCAGGGTTCCTCAGGGACGTGGTTACTTTGCTACCCTTGTTGCCCTATTGCACTCCCTTCTCATTTCACCATGCTGTGCATGGTGACCAGGACACTTTCCGCACTGTCTCTCGTGTTGTCCCCTGTAGTGCTATGAGTCTGTGTGGGAACATCGTGTCTCATAGTGGGGCTAGACAACACTTTAAAAGACTAAAGCGAGGTCAAAAAAAAATGGCAACCCGATAGGACTCACCTGCCCAGAGCTCCTGCTGCCAGACCAGAAAACTGGGAGGTAAGGTGAAGGAAACGGGGAGGTGGTGTCTGGAAATTGGAACTAGGGTACCAGGGTCTCTCCTGAACCCCATTTTTGTGTGTGATTTCCACTCACAAAGCAAAACAAGAATGCTTTAAAGTGCTCTAGCGAGCCTGTGCGCCAGTTGTGCCCTTGTCGGGAGCAGCGGTTTCTCCAGGCTGATGCCTTAAATGGGACAGAATCCCAGACACAAGGTGAACCCCATGCCAGAGCTCTCCACACAGTTGGCTGCCTTGAGCTCACATCCTGGGGAGTGGCAGTAGCCATAATTTAGAGTAGAAAAAAAGGCAGATTATTACCTAAAGTAGATCGCAGTATGGGAGAAAAAAGGCGGAGAGTCGGAATCCAGGGAGAATTAATTCCAATTGGCTGAGAAAGAAACAACCACCCTGATAAGTTGGATCTCCCCTTCTGGGGACCAGTCTGACAGCCCCCAAATCAGAGCACAGCACAAGCATAAAAAAATTTTTTTAAAGGGTGAAATATATATTATTGGTTAATAACTCAAACCGTAGTCTGATGGCTCTAAGGAGCACATGGGGGGGGTCCCTTAACATAAATTAGCATAAGAAATCTAGCTAAGGAATGCCAGAACATAGCTGCAGGGCATTGTGGCTTTTTGCATAACAAAGACCCGCTGTAGCAAGCTTCAGTTTCGAACTGCAGACTAGAGACTGTGGGAGATAAAAAATAAAATCCTTTGATCTAGTAGGACACCAGCAGCCTAGATAGGACAAGCCCAGTTTCTCTTGATTCTACACATAGCTGGTGAGGCCCTGCCTGTCCGGGGGCCCTAGACCAGGCTGTGGGAACCCCGCCCCACCCCTGCTGCAGTGCTAAATACAGCACAAGGCAGGCATACCCGTAAACTCCAGGGCTCAACAGATGCCTGGTCACAAGAGCAATCTT